TTTTTGCCCCAATTTCAAGCACATTTCGGTACTTTTCTCCAAAATGCTCTGTACAAGGCCCATGAGATTTGGCGTACAGCTCGACCGATAGGTCCTCTAAAATCGCATGCATGCTTTTGTCTGTGGTGGATCTGTGGCCCGAATGGCGGTCGAAATACTTTTCTCAAAAATTCGACTATTCTCAGTTATATGGCCGTTTGACCTTTGCCCTTTTGAGTCAGCTTGAATCTCAACCTCTCATTTAAAAGTAGATTGTCTTAGCTTTCCAAATACGTTATTTTCGGGTTCCTCTGACCAACGGTTTCCGAGTTGTAGTCGTTTGAATTCGACTCATCAAATGGCCATCTAGCGGGAACTTTGGCAGTGACTTTTGGCCAAACTATGGGTCAGAGGTGACTGTGGGACCCCTCTTTGCACTTCCCTAGGGACCCCCTACAACAATTACTTTTCAGATTTCGAATCCCAGACGGTCGATTTTTCCTCCCCTACTACCTTAACCTTATTTATGAACTTCTATGCTTAGATAACGTGGCGTTGCACGCAGAGATTCGAGAAATTGGGGGATGCACCATGAGATTAGGCCGTGGGAGTCTGGTCCGGCGGACTGCCAAGAAATACGTTACCTGCAGGTGCGGGTACGAAACGCACCTGAGACATCTCATGGTCCTCGGCGGAACTAATGCACAATATGGTGGCCAGTCTGGAACATGCGGACCGGCTACTTCACTCTCCAGGCATCTCTACCAGTGGCGGCTCGTGGTTCATGCTGTAGGGTAGGCCAGTGACGTAGCCAGGGAAGGGGGCTGTCCTGGTTCCCACCCCCCTTTCCCCCTAGCTTACATAAGGTGTTTTAGGCCCTCGTAGAATTTCATTGGCCCTCCGAAATATGAGACTCTCGTTACACTTCTGGGTTAAGCCCAGGATGCCAAGAAAATAAATGTGTGATGGAAACCCGGAAAATAATTTTTTAGCGTGCGTCGCGTAAAACCACCTAAGTTCGGACAGTACCTAAGTTCGGACACTGCGGCAAACATTGTTACAAACTAAGCATTCGCGGGGGCTGCCTTCAGAAATGGTTCTTCCTAACATGAGATGAACACGTTACTGAACCAAGGAAAAGCGGCGGTCATCATGACTTAGTACGATTCCAAGATATTGAGCTTAGGCTAATGCTATATCGGGAACAGGAAGAATTCTTCAAGAAACCGTAAAGAGAGAACCTTACTTTTGAAACGTTTCACTCGTGACTCTTTGTTTTCTGTGCTCAATTTTTACTTCCCAGGAAACTAGGAGGACATGAAGTCCTGTTACGCAGAATGCACGTGCATTGATCAGATTATTGTCTTACTTTCGGTGTGTCTGAACTTTTAAAGAACTTTTAAGGTCAAGAAATGTTTGCGAAACTTAAGTTTGGACATACATTCATGTGTGTCATATCTGCGGAAATATGACGTCTTCTTGAGGTAAAGAACGTTTAGCGTTGACAAAAGCTCAGTTGAGTCATGCTTTTCAGAGAACATGTATTTTTGAGCTCTGTCCGAGCTTTCATAGCGGGACATGTAACTTCGGACACCGTCGACACATAGGAAAAAATACAGCTTCATATATTTATTCGCACACTCATGTGTGCGGCGTGCCTCCAAAGAAGTGGTCGGAGGTTGGAATGTAAGGGATTATCGATCCGAGGGTGTTGAAAAGGCCATCAAGACTTTAATTCGGGTGAGATGTCCTTGTGGAAGGCCACATTGCTTACAATGAACACTTCTGCTGGATTTATTTTCTTCTAGTTGTACCTCAAAATTCTGAGCGGAGATGTGTCCCTCAAGTTGGATGTTTTCTGAATTAAGCATGCAGAGAAGTACTTGTCTACTGAATGTAACAAACTATGCCAATCCGTTCTGCTTAAAAATAATTTCCGACAACATGACCCTAATGAATAATGGGCACCCAAGGGATTCTCCGCAAGGGTAGGCTTTTTAGAAATTAGCGATTGGAGAACAACCTACGTACGAAATTCCAGGTTTCTATATCCTTCATCGCCCGATTCAATGTAGCAAAACATATTTAAAAGTATGGCTCCCCCCAAATGTACCCCCAGAAGATATTTCCCCTTATGACTGCATACCAGCATGTACCTAATTAGTAAGGTTTCAGCCTTTTGTCTCTATGATTCCCTGGAACAAAATTATTTTGGGGGGAAAGGTCCAGCCCAAAAATATGCCCCTCGGAACGAATCCTAAAAGTCGCTTTTTCCCCTCTGATATCTACACCTCAATAGGTACCGATGCACCACGTTTCAGTTTCTATGTCTCTGTTTCATTGGAGCAAAGAAATTTATGGAGATACGTCTCTCCCAAATACAAGTACCTGAAATCCGTATCATCAGAGTTATTCGTTTAGACCTACCAAGTTCGAACTTTCAATCTCATCTAAAACAAGGTTAGAATTAAAGTCACTCACTCACTCAATCACGTTCATCCTGTACTAGAAAATAGAGGAAAGATCCAATACTTTGCGAACGGGTTATCATTCCTCAAAATGAAGTGTTTCAAGCCTCTTTGAGACTTTAAAACGGGGGTGTCCGAACTTAATTTTTTCAGCATTTAAGTTCGGACATCCACATTATAGGCAATATCGGTAGTCATAAGGGACATAAGTCATAAGGCAAGGACAACATCTTTACAGTACTCAGACTTCCTAGTATTGTGCTTCCAGGAGCAAAAAATGAAACTTCCAGCTTGTACCGTTGAGATGGGACGAGCGAATGATGAGGCTCGGCCAGCTTAACTGTCCGAACATTGGTGGTTTTACCCTACTGAACGCAGTGGAGCGCTCTGACTGCCAAGTGTAGAGGGCGCCCTAAGCGAATCTAGTTCTCTCGAGATAAGTCGAATCTGAGCTGAAAGAGTCGTTCCTTTACATGTCGCCGGGAAAGCAGTCCTGGCAATCTTGGCTCTGCCACTTCAGCATGTTGTTGGGCTTCGTCTGTTGGGGGCTTGTTACCGAATTGTCCTTTTTTTTTCTCCTTCATCATCGCTTCTTATTGCAACCTTTCGTTTGTCGAGTCGTGAGCTTCTGGAGTTCGATATGTTTATTCCCTTCTTTCCTGCAACTATCATTTCTCTGAATTGCTTCTTAAATATTCATTTTTAAGTTGTCAGTCATGCTCTTATTCATTATTTTTTGGAAGTTATTTTCCCGATTGACATAAACGAAGAATTTTAATTCCATCAACTGGCATTGGTTCGGTTCCGGACCAAGTGTCTCTGAATCGTCCCTCTGCATTTCTCAAGTTTTTGTGCCAGACCTTACCGAAAGCACGAGCTTTCGGCTCCGTCTTTCGCAAAATTTCGAGATCTGGTATGGACCTTCCGCTCTCGAGAATTTCTCGCCTCTTTTCATCACTTCTTTAAGAAAAACGGGCTAAAAAGAAAAAAGTTCTAAGTCGACAATGATGAGTGTCTTCCGTTTCTATTATTTTGCGATTGCGAAGCCTATATTACGTTACAAATATAACTTTATCACTGCTCCCTCACATTACACTTCTTCTTGCGCATGGCGGGGGGATTAATCAGCAACATTTATAAGCTCATGTCAAGGTTGAAGATCCAATTGGAGGCTGTTGAAGTATGCTCATGGATATCGTCCAAGGTTCCTACGAATGATCGGAGTGGGCACTGATGGATAATGTACTGGATGGTTTGGTCTTCGAAACTGCAGTCACATCTGGGGGTGGCCTTGATTTTCCACCGGTGCAAGAGATGGGCACAACGGCCGTGCGAGGTGCGGATGCGGTTTAGCATGGTCCACTGCTTTCTTGTCAGGTCGAAGCCAGCAACTTCTGTGGTGGGATCAGACACGAGCTTTTTATTGGGGACGATGGCTTTGACCCACATGGCTTTCCACTGTTCCTCCAGGTCAAAGGAGGACGCGTCGAGAGCAATAGCTCTGACCCAGGGCGGGTTCCGGGATTTTAGCCGGGTCCTCGGCGGATTTTCCTCATTAATTGGAAGATCAGGGTTGGCTTTTATTCGGCTAAAGATGCGTGATGTCCGCGCGTCTCTGCGGATGTTGGGAGGTGGAATTCGGGAGAGCGTTGGTAGCCATTCAACAGGGGTGGATTCTAGAGTCCCCGAAATCAGATGCATCGATGCGTTGAGTTGGGCGTCCAAGCCCTTGGTGTGTGCACTGCTCGACCAAACAGGAGCACAGTATTTTGCAGGCGAGTAAACCAGTGCTAGTGACGCTGTTCGTAGTGTGCGCGCCCCGGCACCCCACGAGGTTCCCGCTAGTTTGCGCACGACGCTGACCCTAGAATTCACTTTTTCGCGTGTCCTTTCGAGGTGGGGTCTGAAGGTGAGTATGCGGTCCAGAGTAGCGCCTAGATATTTTGGCTTGGCCTCATTATTTACTGGATGGCCGCAGAAGGAGACAGGAAGAGTCTCTTTAGAGGCGCGGTTGTCGAGATGGAATTCGGTGACTGATGTTTTAGTCAGGTTTAGGCGTAGTCTCCATCTTTGGAAGTACTTCGCTAAAGTGTCCAGGTCAGTGGTGAGGGTGTCGCCGATGGTGGAGAGTGCGGCACCCTGCAACGCGAGCGCAATGTCGTCTGCGTAGACAAACTTTCTGGAGGTTGTTTGCGGTAGATCGCTTGTGTAGAGGTTAAAGAGCGACGGAGCGAGGACAGAACCTTGTGGCAGTCCGTTATTGAGTATACGGGGTCTGCTATCTTGTCCATTTAGGTGGACGCGGTATCTCCGGTCGCTTGACATGGCTTCTATGAGGCGAATCGTGCTGCGGCATCTGATGACTGTAGATGCTTTAAGGAGTAGACCATCCTTCCATACACTCTTAGAAAATCCCGAGCGTTTGGGGAGTAAAAAGTGAGCACACCGTGAGCTTTTCGAATTTACTCAATAAATGCTCCCTCACCGCTCGTATTGAAGTGAACACCTTGAAGTTCTTCGCCAGGCCACAAGATGGAGGCAAGGGTCTCGCTTTTCGCACAGTACACAAAAGTTCCCTTCCCTCTTTCCCTGGAATCGTCCCTCGCAGGATTGTTTTGTACCTTGCCGTATGTCTCGCCTAGTCTCATTATAAGAATCAATAAACACGGGTACTTCATCATATGTTATCCACATATTCAAGACATATTCATAGAGTCCAGGCCATAAAGAAGCTCATATTCCTATTGAGAACCCTTTTGGAACGCGTATGGTTTTATTCGCATAGGAGATCTAGAATATACAGTGTCTGTGAACTTCATTCAAACATCCCTCAATTAGATGAAGTAATAAGGGATTGATATCCTGGTCACTCCACGGAACCTACAAGAGATGGTCCACTCTCTGACGTATGCTGTAATCGGTACAGTCAGAGGTTGGTCAACACCTGTACGAGAGCGAAAGCGCCACGCAGTATTTATGAGAATATTCGTATTTGCATGACATCCCTAGCACTTTCTGATGGGAGCGTCCTTACGGAGGAGGACAGCAGTTTTACTCCTTGGTGATGGAGTAAAATCGCTTCTTTCCCAGAGTGAAAGGGGGTGAAATTGGAGTTAGCTATTTTACTCTCTTTTTTGAGAAAAATCGCTCCCCTTTTCCTAAGAGTGTACGGTGTCGTAAGCAGAGGAGAGATCGACCAGGGCAATGCCGGTTTTTTGTTTCCGCTGGAAACCGGCTTCGATGTGGCTTGTGAGAGCTAGTACCTGGTCGCAGCAACTTCTGTGGGGGCGGAAATCTGCCTGTTCTTTCGGCAGAGTTGCCTCGATGGTCGATGTGAGGCGGGCTAGTAAAGCCCTCTCCATCAGCTTGCTCGTGGTAGAGAGATGCGATATCGGGTGGTAGCTGGCGGGTTTGTCGTGGTTTTCCGGGCTTTAGTATGGCGATGACCTTTGCCTCTCGCCAGCTTTTTTGGAATTTTTCCTGACAAGTGGATGATAGTAAATAACCTCGCCATCCATTGTCGGCCTTTCTGTCCCAGATTCTTGAGAAATTCGGGGAAAATACCGTCTGTCCCAGCTGCTTTTTTATTTTTAGTTGCCGCTAAGGCCTTGTCAATTTCTTCCAGTGTGCAGGGGGAAGAAAGCGGTGAGGTTGCTGGGCATTCGAGGAGGTTAAGAGCGAGCGTCTTTTTTACCTACTTTTTTGCTTCTTTGTCGGCCGGCATCTTTGTGTCGTGGAGAAGTTCAGCAGCTACAGCATTCGCTGTGACTTTGGGCTGCCGGTTTTGAGTCGGGACTCAGCGGCTCCGAGTTGTCGGAGGAGNGGGCAAGCGGATTCTTGGGCCTCCCCCTCCCCCCCCCCCCCCCCCTTAGGCCCTACCTACGCAATATCCGAGCAACCGGCTCCACCTGCTTGAGATTCTGTCGCCTGCCTCCGCCATTTTCCCGTAGTGTGTTGCTATTGTGGGTTCAAATTGCGCAAAAAGTTTTTTTTTCTCTTGCGTTCTCCAAAGAAGAGAAACGCCGAGCATTGAAAGCTGCAGGAGGAAGAGAGAGGAATGCGGGACTTGTGTCAGGTGAGTATGTTGTTGGAGAATTCCTCATCCTCATCCCCAGGTTCAGGCTATCTCAGCCGTTATATTATAGTCTATTATAAAAACCGGCGATACCAAACGAACCTGATAGTGACCCCTAGAAGGAAAATCCCTTCGCTTGATGATGCAAAGTCCGCATTAGCTTCTCGAGGAATTCATGTTCACACTCGCACGGAAGACTGGAGAAAGAAAAAGATACCAGTGAAGGCCAGCAGACTTTACTCCTTTTTTTCCCCCTCTTAATATGGAAAGAACGACCTCATTCAGAAATGAATTCTCTTCGCTATTCTCCCTCGAGGGATTCCAATCCAGATAAGGGTGATGGACGAGAGAGATTAAATATATCTGACTCCGAATACGAGGAATAGAATCCGCAATGAAATCTGTTATTTAGCAATTAAAATGACAAATTTAGGGTCGACTTAGAAGGGATTTATATTTTCCAATTTTCGCTCGGTTGAAGCCGAGCGGTGCGAGACAGGCACCAAGCCCGTTTCGCCTCAAACTGATGCGATTCCACAATGTCATTCATGGGAACGAGTTGTACTCGGATGAGCCGAACTCCTTGTGAAATCTGTTTTAAAAAGATCATATCCGTTTAACCATGCCTCCAGGGCGAATGCACACTCCCTGCCCATCTCGGACTGAAGAGGTCCAACCTTTTCCCTCATGAATCAAGTTGATTTGATACATTACAAATGCGGCAGGAGTCGATCCAAGCAAGCATCAAGGGAATATCAATTAACTGCCTTAATGAAGAAGTATGCTTGCAAATTGTATACTTTGCCTTAGACTCTCTTAATGACATGAAATTCGTGTATCTTATACCTTTTGACTTCTATGACGTGAGTCACAGGCAGAATCATTCAATTCGAAGGATATGCGCAATTTTGCAATATCAATGCAAGAACCTGAAAAATTGGAATTCCTAATGAACGAAACACCATGGGAAACAGGGGAACAATAGGGAACGTAAGAAGTGTAATGTGGATGGAAAAAAGGCGGGGGCGGGGGGGCACATGCCCCCCTGAGCCCCCAGGCGCTATGCCGCTGGTGTCTAACCAATCCAACCCATGAAAAACTGCGCTGTCATTCAAGCCTTACCAAAACTTTGATCAGAGGTGCATGCGACCGTGTAATCCAGTCATCATTCCTCTCGTATCTCGGATTAATAGGCCTCCCTTTCCAACTTTTACTTTCAAATTGGGTCTGGCAGAGTTCCCAGCGTTTCCAATCGATTGAATGAGCATATATTTCTCAATTCTTTGATCCCAGACAGGGTTTTAGAAGCACCTCTGGTACTGTACATCAAGCAGAGGTTCCTCACCATCATTTCGTCAAATTTATTGACGGATCTACCCATCAATTACCCAATTCGACCATAATGATGAAGTTCAGTTCAACGAACTCGTCAGAATCCATTGCATATCTGATTGGCATCAAAACAGAGAATGGGATCATTGTGACACGAGCACCTTGCCTCGTCCTGTGAAGCAGTATCCTGTTCTGTTCTGGAAGTCGTTTTTAATACGATTGCTGGTGTCCCCTCTACCTACCTGTATTTCTTTCGTTGGGAGGCTGGTGCACCTCAAACATATGAGATACACACGCCCTCAGAATTTGAAAGTGAATTTAAATTAGTGGCGGTAGTGAATGGGACTCTGAGATAGTTCGAGCCCTCCATCGCTGCTTCAGGGACCAATTCATATCAGGCCTGACAACCTGGAAACAGGGAAAATTTACATAATGCCCTAGACCAGAATCGTTGCTATTGCTTATTTCTCTTGCGTGATTAGAGCTGAATCCAATGTAGCTCATTCCTTTCGTCTCAGGTACTTTTCAATGAAAAACTGCCTAAGGTAAAGTAAACATTTTCAACACTGGTAGCTTCTCATTGAAACTGCTTTTTACACAGATAAACGATACAGGTCAGAGCTGTGTGAATTGATGGAAGTTTTTGTGAAGAAGTGTGGATGAACCTAATAATTAGTGAAAAGCTAAAAAATCTTTATTGGAAAGAACTTCTGAAGGATTGACGCCTCCGGGAAAATTTTTTCTAAGTTGCTTGTGAACTCAAACTGAAGTCCTATTATGAATTCAGGTAATAGTTTGGGAAAGGCCAATACCTATAAAATCTTTTACCCTTTCTGATTTGCTTGAGATATAAGTTACGTTTCAAATTTCCCGCCCCTAGTGGATAGGAAACAGTAGGAATTAAGTAGTTGCTACCCATTTTCATAATAGACATCTGTTATTTGGATACTCATGGAGAAATGAGTTAAACACATTTTTTCTTTGGTATTTTTCAGTCCATGACTTTGACCCGCGTATCAAGCGTCTTACAGATGCTGATATAGGAAATGAGACTCAATTAGGGCTCGTATCCAGCTATCTGAGAAAATTTTAAATAAAACATGTGCATATTGCTTCTTAGATTTTATTGAATCCCTTATTTAAAATCGCTGTCTGTTCTCCTCAACCCAGTCCATGTAAGTGGCGAGTTGAGAGTAGACACCAGGGAATTCAGGTCGAGCACAGCCAACTCCCCACGACACGATTCCGGACACGATTCCTCCTCCCGTTTCGAACATTGGTCCTCCAGAGTCACCCTAGGGTAATGAATTGGAGAAATTAGAAAATGCCAAAAAGACGCATGGTAATGTAAAAGATTTCTTTCAAGTGAGAACGAAGCCCAGGAGGGAATGATTTAATCACTCAATAAATAAACGAAGAGTGATGGAATGAGTAAAATACTTAAGCAATAAAAGAAGGAATGAACTCATGGACTGGTTATCCAAAAATAAGAATTCTATGCGCTAGAAAATATGATATACCGAGACGAGATGCGATATTGCAAGACAACTGGCTCAAAATTATTAGTCCCAGGCTTTGCGCTGAAGGTCAATGCTCATTCCAATGGGAAAAAAATTATATTCAAGCGATGTGAATGAGAAACTGGAGAAACTGGCAGATAAAAATACAAAACTAAAATGTTATAATGTAGTTATTGCTCTCTTTCTTTCGCATGAGGAATGGGATAGATGGGACAAGCTCGACAAAGCAAAGCCCATTTATGTGCGTCCCATTTAATACAAACTACATTTTAATACCGAGTTATGTAAAGTAAAGAGCTGAAGAGAATAGCAACAAACCCCCGGAATTATGTGCTTTGGATATATTGTAGGTATTGACGAAGGAGGTGTGCCTGTAAACTCCTTTACTCTTTAGTGAAATTATTGTCACACTTGTTTTGCAATATGATAATTTCTGGATTATATTTATTGTATTCAAAGTAAATCTCAGCAAAATAATAATTTTACGAAAATTTTCTCATGTTGCATTCGTGCAAAATTTTTTTCGAAATTCTTCTCATTGACAGAGGCACTCAAACAACCGGGAGATTGCATAAAGTGTATCTTTCCTTTTTCTGAGAAAAGAGTCTCGATGAAAGTTGGTGTGGGCAATTCATACCTGGCAGGAATCGGCGCCACCTTCTGGCATGTTGCCAGCGCAGATATGTGCATCGAAGTCGATGCCTCCGAAGGAACTGTAGTAATCATCGCAATCTGCGTCACTCACGACGGCGACGTCCACCTTTTGAAGGATATCAGGCAAGGATCCTCCTTCCGATGTTGATCCCCAACCGGAAACGGTCATCATATCACCATCTGAAATCCCCATCAACACATTCATTCAGTGTGCATCACATGCACGGTAAAGCACTTGTATGAACTCGATCTAAAGCCAGAGAAGAGCATGGTGCAGAGGGGAAAGTGGAAAAAAAGAGGACTGCCATTGGGCAACATGACAGTGCCATCCGAAAATGCCAACCGTTTTATTTACATTTACACGATCGACTTACGATTTCCACGATCATGATTGATTTTGCTCATGAGATGTAAATCCATAGTCAATGGTTTTTACTTCTCGAAAACAATGAGGTAAAATCGTCAGCTATTCCCTTCCCTTGAGCAAAACTTCCCACTTACTTTTAGAGTGGAAAGCAAAAAAAGGGAGGGTTTCTTTCCACTCTTGAAAAAATTATTTTTTATTTTTTTATTTTTATAGGAAAGAGAGTAGTTTGAGCTTCTACTCTTTCTATTAAGGAGTAAAAGTAACTAACTCTAATTTTACTTCCTTTTAACCAAAATTGATTTTTTTTCCATTAATTTTTATTTTAAACTGTACGGTACTAGTTCAAGTTCCCTTTTTTTTACCTTGCCAAAAGTGAATTGGATGTAGCGAACGTTCGACAAACGCAACATCCGTATTTAACCAGTGATACAGGATGATTCACTAGGTAGAGGCACCGGGATTTCGCTAATATTTTCTCTATTTATGGATAGATTTCCATAAAGCATATTGCGCATATGATGAAATTGTGATCAATTTGTAATGGAATGAGGTCTGTTTTAACCAAATTTTATGGAAATCGGTTCATAAATAAAATATTCGCGAAATCCCTGGGTCTCTATTTAATGAATCACCCTGCAGAATAGTAAAGACGCTTCATATCACTTGTCAGGTACATTTACAAATGTATGAAACACTTGGACCGAGATTTAAAAAAAAATCAGTTGAGGAGCTAACATTCCCTATTTGGCAGCGATGTATGATTTGTCTCATTTAAAATGCCGGTGACTGTCTCTATTCCATTTATTTTTATCTTAAAGAAAGGCGGGATTGGGGAGTTAGATACTAATTGAATTTTAAAAAGTAAAATTCCTAAAGGGGTGAGGTACAAATGTTACTTTTCAAAGTAAGTGATTTCCCCCATTTCAGTGATGAGAGAACTAGTAAGAGAGATGAAAGAGTTAGCATGAGTTTCACTCAATGGAATAGCCTTGGCAACAAAAAGGATTAAGGGAATGGTCAAAGATATTCAACATTGTTTCAAACCTCATGGTGAAACATATTCGATTCACTTTTCATGAATAATCAGACGATTGCAGCGGTAAAATAAATAATACCTCCCTAAATCCTGTTCTCAGTAGTGATAAGATTGTGACTGTTTCAGGATTGTCAACTTTATCGTTAATCTTCATCAACGAATATAAATCTAATATATCGGGTATGAGTATACCATCCCAGTCTTGGAACTGTGCGGGCATCTCAGCAGGATAGATGAATTCACTCCATTCCAAGGCGGATTCCAGATGGAGAAGACAGATGTCCGCCGTGAGGTCGAACCTGCATCGGAAACCATGAACTGTGAAATAATACTTCGTCCCATAAATACAGTTCTGAGACGCATTCGATTTCCCTGTAATCACTGACCCGTTGTAATCCTCATGCGGGACCATTCTCTCAACGTCGATCTCAACTTCATTCCCACTCGTCTCAGATCGATCGTGTTCTCCCGCTACAACCTGCGCAACAAATAAATATTATTTTTTCAGTATTAAGAATCATTATTTTTCTTTCTTTTACTTCTTTGAGAACGTGATACAAGCGCTTATAATTGCTTTGAAAATTAATTTGCTTTGAAAATTAATCATTTCTGGCCATTTCATAATTGTATGCTTTCACTTCATGCTCCTAGATGACTCTTGAGAATCTCATGTTTCCTTTTTCATTTTAGTATTTATTTGCCAGGTTTCGTTGACTCGCTCTTTTACGTATGTTAAGATTCAATCCAATGCAAGCGGCATGTGGAAGCCTATTTAAGGTCTTGAATCTATTACTGGAGCGCAGAGCAAGCCAAGGAAAACAAGATACAGTATACTGATACATTGCATAATTTTGGATGGAGGAATGATGTCGGATGAAAGTGATGCATACAGTGAACGAGGAGACAGCATCGCAGCAATGGGCTGCGGTGATGACGTTCATCTCATCGAGGATAAATCCCCCGCAAATGTGGCTGCCGAATGATTCCAGTGAGACCTGCCACGGGATTTCTCCCTCCATCGCGTCGTCCCCTCCGACGATCCTCCCGTCCAACATGGGCTTCCTCACCACCCTCCCTATTTTTTTCAAGATCGTATTTTATCCATTTACATCGAAAGTTTAATTGAAAAGTTTAACTAACGGACTAGCATCCTACTTGATCGAGAGAAGAAGCAAATGAGTATATAAGAATATAAAATGCTTTTAATCGCACCATACCTTCAATGCGTACGTACACCACACGTGCAATTGACGAGTGGATTTGGAAATTCACGTGCCATGCGAAAATTTATTTGACTAGCTTCCATTTGACAGCTGAGTAACAATGAATAAATCCCACAGTAATCGGGGATCATTTTCTAAATTTTTTTTTGGTGGAGGCCTGAATATTTTTGAGGCTGTTCCCCTCAGGGGAAGGATATCTCAAGCACCTAATGTAATAGCTAAAATTCTGGCTCTAAGAAAACTACAGAGTTCGCTTAGAACTGCAAAGTCTGCATAAATTTTATTTGAGCTCTGCTCGTAGAGGAATGTTCTCTTCAACTCCATGCATTTCACTTTTCTTTTGAATTTGATGACCTTATGAGGCTTCGTGATAACATGAAGATGTTCCCATTTGATTTCTTCTTCACAAAAGCATGAATTACACCAAAGACTTAGCGCTCTTCTAGGCATTTCATAATATGATGGCTTTCACCCTCTGCTTATGCATAGTGGGTGTCCACATATAGATATTTTCCCAAACCTGCCTTTCCTCCAAAAATACAAAATTAACGAACGCCATGGTTTGAAAGGGAAAAAAAGCCATACCGAAGGAGGAGACGACGAGAAGCGAAGCAACGATGAGCCTGAACATAGTGGCAGTTTCGTGGGGAGACTTGCTCTGCACTTTCCAAGTCGAACTGAGGACGTACGAGATGCCTTCTGCCGCGTTTTTATATCCAATAGGTCGCTTCATCAGATGCCGAATTTCTCATAGACGTGGTGGGAATCCCCAATGTTGAAATTTTCCCGTCTTGCAACATCCTCCCCTTGGGAAATGCTCGACACCCAGTCGTATTCCTGTCTGGACCGAATTATCCTCACTTATCTCAGCATTTGGTTGTTTCTCACGGGTCGTCCTTCAAATGCTCGTAAAAAACATCCGCAGCACTGGGCTATATTTGTCCCATACTTCACGAGCAAAAATAAACTTAGCCACGTAGTACTCCCAACTTCATTTAAATGCGAGATGAATTAGTGAGTTAAGAGACATTGCACCTCGCAGTGTCATTCTGTCATTTGATCAGAAACGTTCATTCATTTCGTCTTGAATCACTTTTGTTCTGAAACTCCTCAGGCGATGAAATTCTCGTTATTATGAAATTTGTATTTCGTATTTCAGTAGCAGATGATACGAGGACCCATCAAAAAGTTCCAGGATCGAATCTCGCTATTCTAAGTGATAATAGCACAGGGAATGTGGCAGCTAGTATAGGATGGGTATAGTATAGGATGAGTATACCATGGAAGCGAGCTTCACATCTTGGGCGAGAAACGGCGTTGCCTTTGCGACCCTGATGTTTTCCGAGTAGCAAATCTGTCGCAGAAGCCTGGCAGTTGTTAACGGCAGCCTACGGAGAAGATGCCTCAATCAAATCTCGTGTGCGAATGGCACAAACGATTTTGCGATGGCTGCGAGTCAATTGAAGGTGACGAGCGGAGTGACCGGTCACCCACGAGCCGAAATGAGAGCACTCTCAGCTCTCTTGCCGAACTCGTCTGCAGTGACCGTCGTCGATTCAGCATTACCATGGCTGCGAGGCTGGGAATCTTGTTTGGATCCTGTCAAACGCTGCTAACCGAAGATTTGAACGTGCATTTCATTGCCGCACGATTTGTTCAGAAACCGACCGACTCTGACCGACGATCGAAAGCAGCATCACCTTGACACTTGACCTAAAACGAACTGCCGATAGGGATCCAATATTCTTGCAACGAATCATCTCTGGGGATGAGACATAGGTGTACCTGTTCGACCCCGAGACGAAGGCTTAGAGTTCTGTGTGGAAAACATTCTCGTCACCACACCCAAAGAAATGCCAAACCACCAAGTCTCGTGGAAGTCCATGCTCTGTTTTCTTCGATGCCCAAGGCATTATCCACCTTGAATTTGTTCCTCGGGGACAGACTGTCGATTCAGCCTTCTACAGAGACGTACTGCTCATCACTGCTATCAGACGCAAACGTCCAGAACTGTTGATTCTGATGGATCGTCCGTGAATCCTCCAGCATGACATTGCGCCGTGTCATGCATCGTTTTTCTTCCGGGAATTCCTCACCGGTCGCGGAATGACACTGCAACCACATCCTCCCTGCTCCTCAGATCTCGAATCTTGCGATTTCATGTTGTTCCCAAGGATGAAGAGTCTCCCGAAAGGTCGTCGTTTCGAGGACACTGATGCCCTCCAATCGGCTGCGACCAAGACGCTGAAGGAGATAGAAAAGAATGGGTTCCAGGAGGTCTTCAAGTCTCTCTACAAACGTAAGGAGAAGTGTGTCTTCAAGTGAAGGCGATCAAACGGAAACCTAAATTCGATGGTTAGCAATGCAATGTGCAGCTCCGAAGCTTTTTGATGGGTCCTCATATGAATTCCCTTCCCTTAGCTGTGGATTTAAAATTTTGATAAGGGAGAGTCGGATCAAAAGTCCGATCGATGATCCATTACATGTCTGAGATGGGTTGGTACCGAATCATCGAAACTCCTGTCAATGAATGGACATTTTGTCGAAAGACATTTGAGCGGACGCGACCATACATAGAAGGATTCATTCATAGAAGTGTCTGGAGATTGAAAGGATCAGGTCACCGAAGGCTTACAAAGCCGAAAAAAATGCAAGCTTTATTTTCTTCGTTTTGGCCGTCTTGATTCATGTGCGTAGTCAGTTTTGCCATGGCTACGTTCTTGTTACATCCCGATGTGCACTGCGAATTTGAATTAAGTTAGAAGCGATCAAGTCTCCACAAGGGTAGGATAAGTATGTGATACATACCTTTCTGGAAGAACAAGGTGAGGCACTGAAAAATCATTGGGCCTTATAAATTATGAGCACGCTAGGATTTCGATTTTTGCGTTAACCCTATAATTTTACACCTGTAAGGCATTTGGGTCCGAGCTGCATCCAACATTTCCGTGAAGTCGTCGTTCCGGACTTGTCAGGTGTAAAACGTTGGACTTGTAACGTACTCTTAAAACGATGAGCAGGGGCTTCTAACTCCAAGAGTCTCTTAAGTTATATCAAATTCAAGTATCAAGTTATGAAGTGAACCTATGATACTGATATTTTTCGGGGACGAATTACTCAGAGGTGCTTCGCGGGAAGAAATACTGTTAATACACGGGGCCTAGTTGCCGGCATATGGCTGTGATACAGATGGACCAAAGTCTTTGGTCCAAAGATATGGTGAAGTCCCATTCGACAGAGTACTTACGGCACGGCTCTTCCAGGCCCATCCTAAAATGTATTTTTTGAGAGGGATTTCCTTCAAGGTTTGCGATGAAACCCATGATTCTAAATTTGCTCATTTCCCGACATTTTGATGTTTTGAAAATCAGTTTTCATCGAAAAGTTTTGCTTCGGCGGAATATAATTTCGGCAAATTTATTAGATATTTAGAGTTTCGTCAATTTTATGAATCAAGTTTTCAGCGATGAGACTTTCGATGAATCGGTGTTCGATACTTAGATACGCTCCCGTCTGAGAAATCTTCGTATTTTCATACAAATGTTCCCGAGGCAACACGGATCTCCTCCCGTTTCCTTCCACTTCCCCGAAATCGGTGGGGAAGGGAGGCTGGATGAAAAATAGGTGTCATTCAAGCCCACGGGCTCCCGTTGCAATTTAAGCACACGTGTCCAAAAGTTTACAGAAGCAAATGCGCAACCAAGATCTACAGAGAAAATGGGTTTGGCAGCTTCCATTCCTTCCCCCTTTGAGGAGTTTGTCTCGAGAAGAGAACTCTCTCATTCTCCTCGCAATTCCGCATACCCAAAATGTAATAATCCTTGAAGACATGCATACTGCGTTCCTTTCTTCCGACTGAACACTGATGTGATGCTACTAATAAATTACAGTATTTACACTCTTTCTTTTAAGAGGCAAGGGTATCCCGACCTCGTTACTCCTACACCCATAAATATAAAGCTCAATTCGCAATTCAAAGTAACTAATTTTTGTGGCAAGCAATCCTACCCTACTTGCAATGCATCTGCGAGCCTGCTATTTTATGGCTTCTGAAATTGAGTATACTTCGTTATGCAAAAGGTACTAGGCATACCACAGCATTGATCCTTCATGCAACTATTTTTTTCTATGCATAATGATTATTCTTGCTTGGAGGCCAAAAGGCGCATGATGGGGAAATACAACTCTATGCTTATATTCCAGTAACGAACTTCCTTGCCGTTCTTCCAGATTTCGCCGGGAAATATTGAATAGTTTTCATTAACCTCAATGGACTCTCGAGATTGATTGTCATGGCAGCAGAAGTCACTATTAGATACCATATTGGTTGCCATCATGTGGATTTGTGGATACCGTGTTTTAGAACAAATGAATGAATTTCTTTAACGGTTGCAATATTTGTAAATAAATATAAATTGCATGCCATTCACTCGCCTTAATTTGAGTAATAAATTCCTGCAAGGCTAGAAGAATCTTGAAATGATAAGCGTTCTCGAAGGACATTCGAAGAATTCTTTTCATTGCAATGTTTTATTAATTATTGCTATCAGGTGTTGGCAACCCAACGAAATTTCTTGTTGAAAACAAACCAACAAATCAAGGATTTCTTGGTTCGTTTGTTCGTTTTTTCTTTGTAATGAGTCTCTATTGCAAGAGAGAGCTTTAATTAAAGCACTTTTCCGCTGTAGATAGACTTTTTTCCTGGTCTCTGAGGATTTCATTGCCCATTTGTTGTATGTGACCATCCACTCTAATTTTTAGCCAGGAGAATGGGAAACAATTTTTAAATTCCTGTCCTATCTGTGCATCTTTCTGTTTCTGTCTCATACATTCCCAGTCAAAAATTATTAATCGGGCCGTTGATGGTTTTTAGTCGACGCGTATATAAAGAGTTAGTTAGGCCATCAAAGGCATATGGTTGGTTCAAGCCGGCTTTTGATCCGACATGTCCCGTTGACCCTTCATCGGGCCAACTTTGACTCATTGTTTGGAAACCGCACATGCCCCAACCATAAGCCGACTTTTCACAGTGGTGAAAATATTTTCAAAAATAACCCACATAAACTGCATCACAGCATTATGCATCTCGGAGAAAAGAATGTATCCTTTGACCACCTACTGCTCGTTCATCTAGGAAATATGAAGGAGCAATACCTTACTAATGTACCTTACTCTGGTACACTCCTATCGCCAAGAGCTGTAATATCCCATGCAACATCCCTTCCGGATGTTAAGGCATTCAGAAGCGAAATAAGACGGGAATGCAATGATATATATCCTCCCGCAGGGAGCCAGGTATGCCTAGCACGTAATAAGACTTAACCATGTTTTCAAGTATAGAAAAAATGTCATGTAGTATAACGTGAAAGTATAAAGCAGAAGGATCCTCCCACGAACATTGGCGGCTCGTGGGTAAAAAAATTGGGCAAGCAGCAGTGATGCAAAAAAAAAAGGGGGGTGTGCGGTCACCCCCCAATGATTTGCACCCATATGATCCCCATTTCTATGCATATTGACTAATGGAGCGTCCTCTTATGATAGTAGCAGGCACATTCGCTCCTCTCTCAACCTCACTCAGCATCCCCTCCCCCATCCACCACTCTCCAGTCTCTTCTGAGAGTCACCCCCCAACCCTCCACTACAGGCTTGACATAAGTTTCGGATTTTTGCATTCAAAAATTGTAGGTCCAATTCTAACATAATCAGAACTATCCATCAAGGAAATTACTTGCATCTAAAGGGAAACGTGACGAAGATATCAACCTTCAATGAATGCAACTATATCATTGGAAGACACC